AGAGAGAGAGAGAGAGAGAGAGAGAGAGAGAGAGAGTTCTTGATTGATTGATTGACTACAATTTTGAGAGTGACGTGATCCACCGTTTCAATTATCATCATCACCATCACCAACATCCGCGCTTACCATCATCTCCATGTCTCTCTATCTCCTTGATCCACTGTTTCCATCACCATCATCATCACCACCAAGCATCAGGTTCTGTACCCTAAAAAGTGCGAAGTCAGACAAAAAACCTTTGAGGAACATTGGCTAATGGCAAAATAAGAGGGAAAAGTTGGAAAACGCTAAATTTCCTCAACTGGAGCACTGAAGAGTCTGAAGACCAATTGAAAGAGAAAGCACAGAAAGTTCATATGAAGGAGAATACCTTGAAGGGGACCTTTAGGACATGCACGGATGATAGATTATATTAAAAGCAAGGGGGAAATGGACAGAAGATCAGACTAAAAGAAAGGTACCAGCTGCCTCAGTTATCGCTCAGCCATTCACACAAGGAAAAGGAGACTCAAGTGTATGTAGCAGGCAGCTGGGAACACACAATTCCAGACACACAGAGCAATCGGCAGAGTAAAACTCAGACCTTGGGGATTCTTTTGCAGTTGGCAAACATCTCACGGTCAGCCATGGGTTCTGGGGAGGAGGGCACACAGCCTGAGCACTCTTATGCATAACACACAAAGCATGGCCTAGGCTGGGGAAGAGAAGCTTATGAGAAGTCATGACCTTGTATCAGGCACATGTTTGGGTGATGAGGGGGTAAGGGCTGAGCAATCTCTTGCTCACTGCCGTCTTCGCCTGAATAGAAGGCACAGCCATTATCGCTGTATCTAGACTATCAGGCACAGGTTTGGGTGAGGAGGGGGTGAGGGCTCTTGCGCACTGACGTCTCCACCTGACTAGAAGGTACAGCCATTATCACTGTACCTAGACTGACAGCTGCTCAGAATACAGATGTAATTACCCTTCGTTCTATTCAGCAGAAGATGGTCAACACACGGTCAGACACAACTGTAATTCCAGCAGCAAACACTTACGGAGGTGTTCTGAATTCTATGAAGAATGCTTTCTGTGCATCACTGGTGATTACAGAAACAAAGTCTGCCTGTGTCTTCACATGTCGATAATGTATAATCGTTGTGTTAAAAGCTCCAATTTCTTTAGCAGTTAACCTCCCCTTCTCCTCAAATCCATATATGGTCCTGGCACCTGCACATCCACAAGGACAATTCCCATCCACCATGGCATATAATTAATAGGCTCAGGACATACTGACACTAGGACTCTGGCAACTCGATTTTTTCTATAAGACTCTACATCTGGGTGGGGATCCGGGCCGCCCGGCTGACTGGCGGGGCCCCCGGGGAGGTCCCAGGCGGCCTGGCCGGGCAGGGCACCCGGTTGGGGGCCGGCCCCCCCCAGCGCACTCACCTGTCTGGGGGTCTCGAACCCCCTTTTCGCTGCTGTTGGCCTCCCGCAGGCCTACCAGGTCCAACCGGCCCGAAAAACCGTCCCGTCGGGCCCGGTAGGCCTGCGGTATTTTTGAAAATTTATAGCAGGCGAAGGGGGCCTTTTAAACCACCACAAGCTCCGGGGATCCACAATGCCAAGCTTAACATATTTTTGCTAGGTTGGGACGGAACTGGTTAAGTGGTGTCCAAGAGGGAAAGTTCGGGAATGTTTTGCGGACCCTCCACGAGATATCTGCTGGCTCCTCTCCACCTTACCGTTTTGCTATTGTTGAGGCGCTCCGTGCTTGTGGTGGTTTAAGGCAGGCGTTGGGGTGTTTGGTCACGTGAAATACGACAAGCCGTCCACCTACCCCCCCCCTTCTCGGCTCATCTTCTTCTTCTTCTTCTTCTTCTTCTTCTTCTTCTTCTTCTTCTCTCGTCTTCATCGTCTTCCCCTCGTCCCCCTCACATTTTCATCTTCCTCAACCTTTCTTCTTCGGCGTCGTCTTCCCCTTCTCCCCCACTCGTTTTCTTTCTCCTCCTCCTCTTCTTCTTCTCCTTCTTCTTCTCCTTCTTCTTCTCCTTCTCCTTCTTCATCTTCTAGTTCGTCAACATTCGGTTGGTCACGTGAGACACGACAGGTGAAAAAAAAAAAAAAAAAGAAGGCCATCCTCCTCCCCCTCCTTCTCCGCTTATCTTCTTCTTCTTTTCCTTCTCTTCTCGTCGTCCTCTCGTCTTCTTCTTCTTATCCTCCCCCTCACATTTTCATCTTTCTCCTCGACCTTTCTTGATCTTCTTCTTCTTCCCCTCCTCACCTCTCTTCTTCTTCTTCTTCTTCTTCTTCTTCTTCTTCTT